ATTCATATAAATTTTTGCAACTCTCCCTGCTAATCACCTAAACTATTATGGAGCAAATATTTTTTAAATACAAAATAATTTAAAACTCCAAGAAATCTAGCAAAATATAGTTATTAAATAGAAGTATGAGTTGTATAGCCCAATATACTTTATGTAAAAGGCAGAAAGACCTAGTAGATAATAATACTATTATTTTAGCTAAAAGTTTACGTTATAGTATTTTAAAAAAAAAGAAGAAGAAAAGAAGTAGTAGAGAAGAAGAAGAAATAACAAACAGTGTTTTGCACTAAGGCAAATACTTCAATACTCTTTCACTTCATAACTAGTTTTTGCAAGCAACCTTCCCTATCCTTTAACTAACAAAACTAATATGATAACTGTAGCTTTTTTCATTTTGTTTTCATTTTGAAAAAAGTGGAGATTCTGGCTTACCCCCAACAAAGGATCAGCATTTATACCACCTTCTATTTTGAGCAAGTCACATCTTGATTGTTTACAAGTTAATTAACACATATAAAGCTAACATAGATCTGCTTATGTAAATAGAATAATAGCTAATGAGAAGTTATACTCGAGATTTATAGTATATGTTTTAGTACTATAAATAATTTTTATTTTTTATGCCTTAACACAGGCTATAATAGTATGTTCTATCTTGATTATCTTTTTTTTTGCTTTCTTTTTCTTCTTTTATTTTTTTTTTGTACTTTTTTTTTTTCGTATAGGCAGCATTTTCTCTCTTTTTGTTTTTTTCTCTTTTATATTTTTTGTTATTTGTTTTTTTCATTAGTTAGTTAGAATATAAATCTTTCAGCTCAGGAAGCTAGGAGAAGAAGGTTAGAGAATTAGGTAATCTTGATAAGAATGGTATATAGTAACCTTCTGTTAATCATTTGAATATGACTTTGTTTCAACAAACTGTTCTTTTAAAAGGAAAATTTGACTATTGCAGTGAGATCACATCTGGGCACCATCTGGTAGCCAAGTGAGTTTAGATTTGTATAAAGAGGATATTATATAACTAGCTTAACTTAGTTTATATTTTTGTTATAACATATTTTATATTTTCTCTCAATAAATGAAGGGCAAGATCGCCTAAGTTCTAAAAAAAAAAAAAAGACAATAGAATTGATATTATATTTTTTTTTATTTTTTTTTTTAGAATACAATTTTTTTTTTTTTTGGAATACAATTTTTTTTTTTTTTTAGAACAATTTTTTTTTTTTTTTTTTTAGAACACAATTTTTTTTTTTTTTTTTAGAACAATTTTTTTTTTTTTTTTGAAACACAATTTTTTTTTTTTATTGCAATTCTCAGATTTAAAATCCTATTCATGGCTTAATTTTGGTATTTACTCTCAAAGCTCTAATCATAATTCTTGCTCTATTTATTCATTTAGAGATATTTTGCTATACTTTTTCCTCTTAAAATGCATTCTTTTTTTTAATTGTATGCAATTTTTTTTTTTTAATTGAGGTTTTTTTTGATTAATACTTTTTTTTTTTAATTGAGATATTTTTTTTAAAAAAAAAAAAATTTCAAAAAATTGTCTTTTTTTTAAAAAAAAAACGTTAAACCTTTTTTCTTTTTTTTTTTAAAAAAAATGAAATTTTTTTTTAAAAAAAAAAATAATAATAATAAAAAAATTGAAATGCTTTTTTTTTAAAAAAACAATTAGGTAGTATTTATTGTCATTATTATTATTCTTATTAGAATAAAATACTTTCGCAGATTAAACATCTGTGATGTCATTTTAAATAGGAGTTTGAGCAAAAGTTAGTAATATCACTAGATAGAACAATTTTACATGATCCTTGTATCGACTACTGCCTTCTATATATTTTTGAAGAATATTTGGTATTACATATTTCAAGATATTCTAAATATGAACAATTTTATAGATTTTTTGATGAGCTAGAAAATCGTATAAATAGTGAATATGTAATACAACTGCATGAAGTTAAAGAGTGACTAAAACACTATCTAGATTACTAAGCAAAAAAAATCTATTTTAATGCTCAATTTAAGGTACTTTAGCTTAGTTAGATTCTGATAGTACTTTAATAGTAGCAGACTATAAAATATGAATTCTTCTAAGGTTTGCTTGTAAGACCAAAAAAGATTTTTTTGAAAAAAAGAGTTGAGTATTACACACCATTTTAGTTTTTAGAAAAATAAAAAATTGAGATATGCTAGATATTCAAATATTTGATTATTGGTCTACTAATATAAAGCAAGATACATGGTTCACCACTTCTTCATTTGAAGCAGTATTTGATTCAATGAAAAAAAAATACAAATAGATAACAGTAATTTTAGATAATAGTATATACTACCATAATTCAAAGCTAATAGCTATTATTGTTTATTAGCATACTTGGTACTCTATTAAAGTTAAAAGATAGCTATTTTTAGAGCTAGAAGAAGTTAAAATAACTATTGATTCTTATCATGCAAACATGAATCTATTATTATTATTTTTATAAGTTTATTTGAGCTAGGTACTAGAAAAAAAAACCAATTTAACAATTTTTTCAAAAAAATTTTTTTTTATAACAAGATCAAAATTATTTTTTACTTAAAATACAAAAGAGTTGTATTAATAAAATTATGCAATATAACTCTTTAAAGGTTACATTTTATTATAAAATTTATACTATTTTTTTTGTTAATTTGAGTTCTTTTCCTAGTATCTAGCTTATTTTCTTGCGAAGACTTATTAATATCTTAATACTTTAATATTACATAAGATCAGTTATAGTATTAAACAGTACATTAGAGTTGGATTTGATATAGCGAAGGTAATGATATAGTAAAAGTAGTGAAGGGATTAGCTAGAACTTCATTAGCACAAATTATAATAGATTGTGATAATAAAGATAATGAATCTGAAACTGAGGGTATGAAGTCAAAAATAAAAAAGGAAATTTAAGTAATAAAAAACCAAAAATTAAAACAATACTGGGGATATCAAAGTTTTACTGTTGGGAATAGCCTACAGAAAGACCTCTAGCCAGATTTATTCATGCTAGAAGATTACTACATGTAGGCCCATGAGAGAGTTTTTCTCTAGCTAAAATTGTTAAGTTATCTAATACATCTATTGTTCACCTGAAGCTAATAATTTTAGAACATACAAAACTAACAATTAATTAGACTATGTCAATCCCAATGCATCAAAGTATATTTGTAAATATGAATACCTAGCATAAAATAATAGAATTAATACCTATAATAATAAATTTTAGTTTCTACTGATAAAAAAGTAACTGAGATAGAAGGTAATTGTAACTATGATTTATAACTAATTGCAATACATTACTAAATGACTTTTTTTATAAAACAAATATTACTAATTCTAATAGTGAAGACAATGATCAAGGTTCCAAGATAGATATTGAAGGTAGAAATTAGTTCTTATAATGTTTTTAATAAGCTACTAATTAAATTTTTTATAAAACAGACTTTCTAATCTTAGTGAAGATAACTATCAAAAAGACTATAGAATGAAAGTTAATAGTAGTATAAATTAGCTACTCTAGTAATTTAAACTAGCTCAAAACATGAATTTTTTACTGTATGAGTAAAAAAAAATTTTGCTAATTCATATATGACTTATTCAGAAAATAGTGCTAAAAAGGATGAACAGAAAGCATTTATTTGTTTTCAAAAATTAGCTAGAATAGTGAATTACAATAGAATTAGAGTTAAAAAGAATAAACAAAAAGCATCTATTTATTCTCAAAAATCTGATGAAATAGAAAATCCTAATGGAATTAGAAATGAAAAGAATAAACAGAGGGTATTTATTTATTGCCAAAAATCAGCTGAGATGGATAGTTCTGAGAATAGGTTTGCAGAACTTCTAATTTATTTTAAGATTATTTTATCTTTAGCTAATTGAGTCTTGTTTAAATATATTGAAGAAGAATTTCAAATATCTTCAGATTGGATATTCCCAGCAAATACCAAATTCAAAAAAAGGGTGCAGGCAAAAAAATTAAAGTGAAGGTTGCTAATTTGTTAAAACAATTTTTTTTAAATAGAAATATAAATCCAAGAGATAAGATAATAGCTCAAGATATACATATTGAACTTAAAGAATTCACATGATCTGGAGAAATTAACAATGATAATATCTCTCAAATATCTACTATTCATAATTAGATTGAAAGGTATTCATGAGAATTTAATCATAAAGGAACAATCCTTGCACTTGAAATATTCAATACTAGTGACTCTTTCTCAAATAGCTAATATTAGTGTATATTTGTATTTTATTATTCTACTGTTGAATATCATATTTTTATTCTATTATTGTGAATTTTTATACAAATATCTAATTGTTAATTGAAAATGAACTAGACAAATACGTGTTGTCCTCTAAGACAATCATGAAAGTTTAAAAAAAAAAAAAAAAAAAAACTCAAAGCTTTCATTTATTATTAAAAACTGCAAATATTGAGGATTTTTTATTAGAACATTCAAGTTAGTATTGTTAAAGTATGGAATTGATATTAAAGAGATGAACAGATTTTATTTGTTTGTCATAATTATTGTACTAAATAAAATCTAAATAATGAAATAAATAAGAGTTTACTCAAATTTATCAAGATTCTTATTTCATATATCTAATATATATTGATCTATATGGTTTTGAATTTAATAGTTTTTATTTTATTTCACTAATTTAATGTCTTGTATGTAATAAAATAGAATTAAAAAATTAGTACATAAAGAATTTGGTCTTCAAATTGACATACAATAATTTGTAGCAATTTCAAATTAATAATAATAATAATAATTGTTTATATACTTTTATTTATATAATACATAATACAATCAACCATAAATATTCCTTACATAATTATATCGAACAACCTAAAATTGCACTTTAATCTTAAAAAACTATCTTACATCTTGCACAGGGTCATATGAAATCTATACTAGGTTTGTATTATATAAGTAAATCACTTAATTTATAATGTCCTAGTAGTATCCTAAAGAATTACTCTTGATGTATTAACTAATCCTTCTAACTTTGTTTCAGAAGAAGCATTTCTCAATGCTTGATAAAATACCTAAATATATATTGTTGAATACTTATTAATATTCTCGAGAGTGTATTTATGAATTGACAAATCGATTATGTTATAAAACATAATTAAGTAACAAGTGATATAATTATATTTGGAATTAACTGAAAAACAAAATAATATAGATCTTTGCCTTCAAAATAACTTTATAGAACATAATAATTACTATGTCCAATAAGGTTATTTTCAAAACGAAAATCTCATATTATGTATATTACTTAGCTTAATAGGAAATTCATTGATTCTAGTACAGGTAGTAAAACAAAAACTCTTAGTACCAACTTGTAAGTCAGTATACAATATGCCAATTCTAAAAGCTACTATATAACCCTGAAAAATTATTAGTATATCATAAGTTACAAGTCCTTCTTTTAATATTTGAAGAGTGAATTGCTTACATTTGAAATTAGACTATAATAAAAAGAAATCTTTAGTAACATAGTATACATAACACTCATCAGAACATGAAGATATGATCTTTGTATACCTTCTGGAAACACTATAAATCGCATTTGTAATTTCTAAAATATAATACTGTAAATGAAATCTAAATTTTTTGACAAGACAAAAATAAATAACTTTGCCTTGATTCTTTATAGCACCAGATAATTTCAACGAGAACGCGTCTTTGGCTAAAACTAAATAAAAAAAAACTGTATATTTCGTGTATTTCTTGTAGGAATAGGATCGAAATTATTATAACACCTGAACCATTTTGACGTGAATATGCGCCCCTTACTGAGTAAACTCAATAACCTGCGCGGTAAATGAAAATTTTATTTGAACAGTTGTACTTAGTGGTTATGTTCTATTGAATTCGAAGATCAAATATTACTTTACTTAATTATAACACTAATTTACTTATAAGGCCAAAATAAGGTATTAGGGAGCTGGTTATAATTGATCTCAGCCGTATGATCATATAAAATTTATGCCCTTGATCTGCGATTTACCCCTTAAACATTTTGGACAAAAAAATAAAGTGAATTTATTCAAAAATTTATTAAACAAAATATTCAGAATTAAATAAAACATATAATCATATAATTTTTATTTCTATTACTAAAATATTTAAGGCTATGGACAGCTTGAACACTTTGGACGTTTGGAACCGGGTACTAATCATGGAGTAGGATTTTGTATTCGTCATAATGGTCTCGTCATATAATGATTAACCAATTCTGCACAGGTTAATCGTTGAATGATCATCTAACTTAGTAAACTTTAGAGAAAATTTTATAACCAACAGTTAAATAAAACATGATAACTACGAAAATTGATCCAAATTAATCATTTTTTTAATATTTAATAATTTCGCGCATATGTGATATAATGTGACACAACATGACCCAATGTCAAGTGCCCGATTTTACTTTGACCTTTCATTTATCCATCTAGATTTTTTTTTTTTTTTTTTTTTTTTTTTTTTTATAATATTGTCACCGAGCATTTCGCACAAACGTACCTTCGGGTAATCTGGAATTATAGGCATCTTGATAACCCGGTTAACAGTCCGGTAATGTGATCTGTAAACGGTTAAGTAATCCGGAGATCAAATTTCTTGCGAGTCCAATTTCTACCTACAGGTTCAGTAAGTGGTTTACTCTGCTTTTTGGTTTGTGTTAGTGGAAATTTAGGTTTAGGTGCTGGTTTTGCATGAAATCTATGATTTTCCTTATCGCGTCGTTTCATCTTGACAAGTTCTTGACGTAAACGCTGTTGATATTTCTCTCCTCGTGCATTAGTTTCTAATTTAAACGGTCTTGATTTTGTCGCAGGTGCAGTTTTAACTGGAGGCAAAGGCTATATAAAAAATAAACATTATTGTTATTATAATCATGAGAATAAATTTCCACTTTCGCAGATACTAGGGATATACTTGTTGGCAAAATCCCAAACTATTATAAAATTAGTTTGTCCGCGCCCAAATCCCAAACTCTGGCCAAATTCA